AAGTAATTGTTGGAGAATAAAAACGCCACAGCTTCTATTCCATCTGCCTTTTCCACCCCTACTATCTATTCTTGAAGTGGATCTTCCACCTGACTCTCCCGTTTTGTACCAAAGTGTAGATAGGAGCAAATCTTACAATTAAAATAAATTATCACGTATTTCAAATTATCAATTCTATTTGATGTTATCGTTCTTTAGAGCAATAAAAAAAAAATAAACGGATTTTTTGTATTGGCTACGTTTGATAACATTGTCAAAGGTTGAGAGCTTAAAAATTGCATTAGCCAGACTGGAAAGTCACTTTACTGTACGTTGAATGTCATCTTCGAGTAAGATCATCTCGAAAACTCGTGACAGTAGATGATATCGTATTGAAAAGTTGACCTTCAAGAATGCATGGCAAACTGATAAATGGTTTAGTGCAATTCGCGTGAAACATTTGTAATTTCGATATGTCTCAACCCACTTATTATAAAAGCAAAACAAAAACGATAAAAAAACGATTAATTAAACCAATCTATTTAAAAATGAAACTGTTTATGAAGGATATGCGTGTGAGGTCTTTATGTAAAGATGTAACTATATTTTTAGGCACTGTTCACTCGTCCTGTTTAATATTTAATATTTTGAATGCAAATGTGAATGTGTTTGTTTGTTACCATTTTACGCCATAAGGACTTAACCGATCATTATGAAGATTTGTACATACATTGTAAAGGGGGCATAAAAGGATATAGCTACCTTTTATCCAGAAAAAACTGTTCCCTAGGGATAGAAAAAAATAGTTTTATGTGGTCATTGGTGATCTTTGACATGAAGTTAGAAAATCAACGAGAGCGAACCCGGGGGTAAAACCCATCATGAAATGTTTTTTCAGAACGTTCCCGAACGATAAATAATTAATCCCGGCTTGTAATAAATAAATGTAGTTTAACATGTACCAATATGGTACCATTTTGTTGGTACTAATATTTTTTTAATACAAAAAACAAATTGGAATTACACTAGTTTTCAACAATAATAACAATAAACACAAAATTAAAAAAAACATTAAAAATTAATTACTTAGGTCTACTAGTAGAGAAATTGTTATTGTTCCTAAAATCTATTATTACATCAATTATCTATAAGATGATTATAAAAATTTTTTGGGCTCCAAAACGTGCTCGTCAGATAGGGGTTGATTTTCTGCAACCTCTTTTAAAACGTCTGGTAATTTTTTACCCGTTTCCACTGATAATGCTAAGGCTTTCCGTACACCGTCACTATCGATTGTTTTTAGATTGTAAGCCCAACCTAAAGCAGCAAAAATACGAATGAATGCCGTAGTGCAACCATTAGCGTAGCCACCGAATTCTGTCGTTCTGTAATCCCACGGGGCTATATAATGGTACTGGGGCCAGTAGCTTTTTGTTATGAAAAAGACAATGTTACTGTCTGGCGGATTCCTATGGAAAAAAATAAATAAATATGATTTGTTTTATGGATTTTGTATCTAATAATAATTTTATTTACTTTTCATCTTTTTGTAAGCCCCAAAGTCTGGATCCGCTGTGGATAAACCACGCAAAGTTTTGGGTAAGGCCATACCTTAGAGCTCCAGCCACAAACAGTGTGCAAAAGAAGTTCTCATTCCAGTATTCTATTGGGGTATTTAGGGGTAGTACTATACTTACAATAATAAAAATTAACCAGTAGAACCTAAAAATGGTAACGATTTATTGATATTGGTTTTGAGTTCCCGTATTTGATCCCGGGATTGTTTCGAGATTTTACCTAAACAATGTGCCCACAGAATTTCAGAAATGGTCCCGAACCCTTAAAAATTCCCTAATTTATGATTACGTCATGAACACACTTCATTACCGAACATGAAACCTCTGTTAATGCAACAAAATGGCGATACAGGTAAATTCCCCAAAACAACTAATGGATTTACTGGCTTTTGACTTTATTTTAGTGTAGAATACTATCTAAAACTTACTTCTTTTGGAACATAACGACATTATCCTTTTCGATATCTGACATGTCAACTTCGTTTAAAAGTTTTTCGTGTGTGGCACTTGGACGTTTCAGTAAACCTTTGATGTGAGCGTACCAAAATCCTCTGCTAGGGTTGAAAGGGTCTTTCTCAGTAGCGAAATATTTGTGGTGAAGTCTATGCACCCTTACCCAGTCATAAATTGTTCCCTAAAACGATTAGGAAATAATTTACTGTACGTAGTACTAATTTATAAATGATGCTTTGAAATAATCCGACAATCCTACATTCAAAATTGAGTTGAGTGAGTCTTTTTGATATTATTCTCTTTATGTTAGGGTGGTAGCCAGGGTTGAACCTGCTCTGGAAAATTGTAAGCCTGCTTTAGTCGCAAATGTCAAATTTGATCCTTATTGTAGCAGAAAAAGCGTCGATTACAAAGAATTTTTTTGTATATATAATTAAAGACTAAATTACATAATAAAATAACTCATTTCTGTTATTATCTGANAAATAAATAATAATAAAACGTGGTTTTTGCTACTTACATGATTTTTTTTCCAAATAACAGTTTTTCCGTTGTATATAAAAAAAATAAACACTATAAAGCCGCACTTTTGAGATACAATTCATTTAAAAATATTTCAAAAAGATAATTTATTGCTTGCGTACAGAAAATAAAGGTCGTATCGGAGATTCAAATTATGCTGAAGGTCAAAATAATGTTATCACTGCACGGTCGAGATAGTTGTTACAATAATTGAATTTTTATCTGGTCAAAGGGGTCATCTGCCACGCGAATGGGCATATTTTATTGTAATTTTCCTACACATTTTATCAGTATCTTGTGATTTATTATTCAATTATTCGCACCATTTATTCACTATAAATTTATTTTTTCAGATATTTGTATTCCGAACTTACAAAAGTAAAAAAATTCCTTTTAATCGGAAATAAATATCAATATCATTAGCCAGATTGTTTGAAAATATACAAAACTTAATAAAGCCAAAAAAGTTTTTTTATAATTTTGTTTGCGTAACTAATATAAGTATCTAAATTCAACCAAGTTGCTTTCAAATCAAATAATATACATTTCACATCAACTTAAGACACTTTAAAACAATTACAGTCACGAAACTGTTACAACTGGAACAATTCGGAAATATTCGCATGTATTCGACAGCCCTGATTGTATTATCGGCTGATACAACACATCTTTTTACTTATGTAATTATTTCCTATAAAATAAAAATTGATACAATTGTTTAAATCGAAGCAATATCGGGGTTAAAAGTACTTTATTTATTTGAAAAACTACAGCCGACGTTTCGGCCAGGTTGTTGGGCTAACTGAATAAAACTAGCCTTGAGGAAGTCCGACAACCTACTGGGCGAAACGTCGGCTGTGGTTTTTGAAATCAAAATGCCTTTTTGTTGATATCAATCATACCATACGCACATGATTTAAATTTTCGGTGTGACAAAACAAATTTTTTATTAAAGATCTACAAAATGTCTCCAAATATTGATTCCGCAACGGGGGTGCTGCATGAAACTGATGAAGAAATTTTAGTCGAAAACCCGATTTGGAAGGAGCCCGACGGCAGAAAGGCGAAGTTAGTTTGGAGAAATGTAATTATTTTTGCTTACCTTCATTTAGCTGGATTATACGGAGCTTATTTAATGCTGACTTCTGCTAAATGGGCAACATGTATATGGGGTAAGTTTTGAATACTTCAAATTGATTTTTACTTCCGCCGATCCTTGGTGAAACGTTTTGAATTTAGTTAACTTAATTTTTTCAAAGACTAGCCGCAATATTAAAATTAAAAAATAATATTGTTTCTTAAATTAGAATGAAAATTGTATAAAAACTTACAAATGATGTAAGTAATAGTTTTTTAAACAAAAATATGACGTAAATAATTGTGTATTACGTATTTTTCTGTTACCAATTACGATATTTATTATCTGATACAAACGGTTATTGTTTCGTAATTTGTATCTTACATATTTAAATATTGTTGAAATTACTGTCATTTTCGTTTCGTCATGATAAAAATAATATAGGATAATAATTAGGATAGGCTTCTATTACATTTTTTTTTTGTTTTTGAAATTAAATAACTAATGCAATACAGTTTTTGTTATTAATTATATTATTCTTTGCACAATTGTAGCTATTGTGGCTCCTTCGTTGTTATTAATTCTTTGGATACATTGCGTAGAATAATAATTGCAAAAACAATGCCGCAATTTGTTCCACGTTTACATATGTTTTTTTTTTCCAGCTTATATATTATACACTTGCGGAGGCCTGGGGGTCACTGCGGGTGCACATAGACTTTGGGCACACAGATCTTACAAAGCCAAATGGCCCTTGCGTCTTATGCTCACAACTTTCAACACTCTCGCATTTCAGGTAATAGCAACAAATATTATATATATATATACAGGGTGTTCCATCTAAGGCGGCTTTGACTCACTTAACTCTTTTGTTATACCATTAATAAAAAAATTCTTTTATAAAACTAGTCCGGAATGATGTGGTTCATATACAGAAAATATTTTCAGTTATATAGCGTGTTCTGTTTCTTCTGGATGTTACCCATATTAAAAGATACCGTTCGATACAAAATCAATAGTACTTTCTACTGATACAAGGTTGTAAATATTTATCTCTAACAATTTTCCAGAAAAAAATTATTATTTTCGTGAAAAACTTTCGCGAAGTATACTTCGTTTACTTTCTGTAGC